CCTGACATCTATATAAAATATTTTAGTGCAAGGATGGTGGAAACAGGTTAATTACCCCTGAACAAATATTCAAAACATTAATTATAAAATTACAGAAACTACCACTGTGATAACACTTTAGTGGGCATCACATAAGCTATGATTTTAGGAATTGATCGCATTCATTTTTGGATAAGAACATATTTACCTTTATGGAAAGACCAGTATGAGCCACAAACAGGCATTACACTATAGATGCAGATGTGGGTTTGTGAAATAAATGGACATTGGATGGACTTGTTCGTGGATCATACTCTACATAAACATATGTGACTTCAATCCACTCCAACTCAACGAGAAAAAACATGAAAGCGTTTCAGAAGATTGAAATCTAGAGACTGCTGCACTGTCTGTCTACCACGGCCTCTCATCTACGCAACCACGCAGTTAATAATGTATGAAGGCTAAGTCTTCATGTCTCCTTCCTCTTTTCATTGCTGAAATGTCAGGTGAGTATAAAGAAGGTCTGAACAAAAAAGGCCTTACTGCATAGCCCACGCAGACATGCACATTTAACTGAAGAACCCCATAAAACTTACTTTCAAAAATCCATATTCTATAAGTAAATATTCCACTTGAGCAAGAATCAAAGTTAAAGGGACATTGTGTAGTGTTTTAAGCATTTTATTAGCTAAAATCAATGTCAAACAAAGAATTTCTTATCTGTATATACATTGGACGGGCGAGTCCATGGAGGCTTCCATATCGTTCCGCCATTTTGAAAAACTATAATCGCCGAGAGGGACATAAAGTACTAGCCTACCTGTCTAGCTAATCCAAAACGCGTTTTCGTTCAGAGCCAGCGTCACGTGACTGAAACCAGCTATAACGGAGAAGGAGATCAGTGAGAGGCGCTTGTCACTGCCCCGGCACATTTGAAAGTCTGCACTGCACTTTAGTTAATAATGGAGGATCATACTTATGCCGAACCACAGGAGAAGGAATCCTTGTCGCCAAAAAAGCGAAAAAGGGAATTAAAAAGGCAACGTGACCGGTGAATTCAAAAAACGAGGGTAAACATCGGGGTAGCTTTTCCCAGGTGGAAAGAGCTAATGAAGGAGAAAGACTTTCATAGGGACGCTGAAGTTGCCTGCTTTCTCATCGACAGGTAGGCTTCTTGGTACATAACGGCTACCGTAGTTGCAATACGCATTTGAAAACGCGAGGCACTAGAGAGCACTATTCGTTTGAATGCAAAATACAATTTCACCGCTAGATGGGAGAAATTCCTACACAATGTCCCTTTAAACAAATAATGAGGTTAGGAGTTCAACAAGTTATTCTGCTTCATCATGATTGTGTGAGTGTGGTTTAATCAGATTTGACTGACACTAAGCAAACAACTGTCTTCACATTCTCATTCAAATGTTGCTAAATGCTGACTTGTACACTGTGCATGGCATCACTTTATTCCAGAGTCCCACCCACCTCAAACTGTCGATACTTGTTAAATAACGCTTCATTTGAACACCACCTATTTTCTTTGCAATAAGTGTAATTTCTCCGCTCAGCAGAAGCTTCATTCAGTTAGATGTTGCATGTGATCTCTGTTGTTTTTTTCCACGGACAGACTCAGATTGCTATTGTAAGTATCTGACAACATTATGGAACCTACGCCTACAGGGACTTTGACCTGGTTTTGCCTCTTCCCCAACCATACGTTTCTGTACTTCAAGGTACTATTCCACTCAACCATTTACTGTGGACTGTAGACAGGTCACCAGTCTATCACAGGGCTAACACTTTAAGAGTAGAGAGATAGCCACTTTCACACCTACAACCAGCAGAATTTCCAATTTACCTAACCTGCATGTCTTTGGACTGTGTGCAGAAACCCATACTGCAGGGAAAATAAATACCCCAGCTGGCCGGGTGTGAGGCAACAGTGCTAACCACTGAGCTCCTGTGTTGCCTTTTAGTTTATTATGGTTTATTTTCATTAAACAGAATCTCATCCTTTTCTAATTAAAAAGGACATGTTCATTGTTCAGCCACTGGAAAGGCCACACCTATGAGGGCTTTTCTTATTAATGCAGGAGCATGTGATTTCTAATCAAAGAGTGAGGCTAAGGCAGACCAAAGCACTCCTAAGTCCATTGCTGAAGTAGCCTCTTCAGAGATTCAAGCTCTTTTTATTGAGATGACCTTATAACATCTTCTACTCATGCATAGCAATGACTTTGTAACAGCATTGATGAAATTTCTTTAAAGAAAAAGGCACAGCAATTTTTTTGACAACACAAGGCTCATTCATGTGAGACACAGAAGTGAGTCACATACGCTGTACATTACTTTTCCGTTATCTTCACAGCATCTGTTGTGCCAAATGCTGTTTTATGGCCAATTTTAGCACAACTGCGAAAACAAAGTGCTGGCGAGCCTATCATACTGGCAGTACAAGCCTGTTTATCACTGTTCAGTTACCATGTAGCTACTGGTGTTCATCTAGCGTTGTTATTGAATATTGAATGCCAATTGAAGTGATTGGTCATTGTTGTTTGGTAGCTCATATCTGTAGGGCCACTGTAAATGTTTGAATAGTCAATCAGGAGCAAGAGAGTGTAAAAACCCTTTTAGTACATATTTTTAAGTACATAAAAATAAATCCTACCCCAGAAATGTATTCCAAAACAAGAAAAAAAACAGGATGATTTAAAGAGTGATTTGACAAAAAGCACAGGCAAAAGACACAGTTTTAGACACACAATAAGACAGCCTTTCTTTTTTCTTTCTTTCTACCCTTGCCCTTCATGAGTTTCCTACTTTGTCAACCCTGAGCTGAATTACTATCTCCATTTAGCGGACAATTTATCCAACCAGGGCAAGAAATTGTGGAGGATATTGGGAAAACACCTCTGCATGGGGTGATATATACTCTGTGTCCTACTGCTGCATAGAGGCTAATACCGTATGGCTTGAGGCATGAGAGTCTACCTCCCTGTGGGAAAATAGGTTTATGGTTGAAACACCTTCCAGTAGAGAGATCAACTACATGGAGACCCATTAATCCAACCATAAATCTTAAATGCGATCACTGATGAAGTGCTGCATGTTCAATAAGACAACTTTTGACATGTAGGTATGATATGTTGGATAAGTGTGTGCAAGGTGCTGGTTAAATGGCTGTATTAAATATTATTAGTATGCACCTTGTGTTGCTGGCACTGGATCAGAATCTGCAGACTTGTTCCTGCTGCATGGGGCTTGAAGGGCAAACAAAAGTAGCCTTTTGTTGTGGGGGCTTATGATGACATCAAACATGATTGTCTCCAGCTTTCTGAATGTGGCATTTTATTTCATTTTATGTTTTAAAAGTTGATACCTCAAGGGGGCTTCTGTTAAGTGACAAGAGATTTTTTGGAAAACATTTACTGTAGATGTGATGACGGTTGATGTCAGCTCAGGTGGAGTGATGTTCTCAGGGAGGCATCATCTAACAACTCTGGCGAAGCCTTAGAGAGTGCAAGGCCACAAAAATAGGGTCTCAAGGGCACCTATAAAAAGACATGAGAGTGGATAAAGCCAGATTTCAGCCGTGTAAACTGGGTAGTTAGATTGTCGTTTTTTTTTTCTCCTCAGAAAGATTTTGCTGGTTTGCCAGAAATAAGAAAGAAAGAGTGTGAAGAGAGAAGATACGTTTCTTGCACACTAACATTTCAATACTAATAGGGAGATTCATTATTCTCTGACCAGGAAATCCATTTTCAGTTTTATTCTCAAAGTCAGTAATATTCAACATGTGATGTTATCGTTAGAGTGTGAGCACAGCATGATATTTGAGAAAAAAGGAAGGAACTAAGAATATCCTTCAATTCTCTGTGACCCAATATTATATAATTAAATTCTAATCAGATTTATACACCATATCAATAAAGTGGGACAAACACAACAATAATAACTCTATTTTTTTAACCAATCAAAATAATTGCACAGGTTGTTTGTGCAGATGAAAAGTATCTTAACTAAATCTGGTTTGAAAATTCCTTCGTTGAGACTTGATAGATAGATAGATAGATAGATAGATAGATAGATAGATAGATAGATAGATAGATAGATAGATAGATAGATAGATAGATAGATAGATGCTTTTTTAGTCATAGTCCACAATAAATCTATAATATAAAATGGAAGACAAATATCAGCAATAGTTGCTTATGGATTGTTGCCTACGGTATAAGAAGAGTAGTGTTCATAAATATTTTACATTTTTATAATAGTTTGTTTCCTCGTCATACTGCTGAGAAGAGCACTGTGAGCAACACTATGATGGTTCATTTAAAAAATTGTCTTTTTCCCACGTGCATCTAAGGCTGTGAAATAATGCACTTCACAGCACCCACACAAGCCACATGTCAAGAGACTATACAGCACTAATGTTCTCCACACTGTACAGTATAGTGAGGCCTCAGTGAGATGTCCTCATTTATTTAAAGTGACAGAGATGCTGCAGAGGCAGACTAAAATGTAACAACACAGAGACAGTGTCAAATCAATTGTCTGCTACACTGCCAATGTGCAATGAGTTATAGAGGAGTCACCACTGACCTCTACATCAGGTCTACACACTTTAAATTGACTGTAACAAAACAAAGAGTAGGTAGAGCTTTTAGTATAATCGTCATATTTGGTCACCAAAAGATCTTTAAAGGAGGAATGTTTGTTGTTTATGTGACAATCTAAAAACTTCAATGTATGATCCCTGTGTTCAGAGTGATGCCTTCTTATTGTAATAACAATCAAACAATGAAATACCATCATTCATTCTTTTTTTAAACTCTAAGATTGTGGGGCCAACAGACCTGTTAGGCTTGAAGCACCAACAATAAATTAATCATCAGCATGTTCTGTGATTGTTTGTATGAAGAAAAAAACAGAGACAGAGAGGGGTGTCCTCATAACCGCAGAAGGATAGAACCACCTAGACATTAGCAAGGGTCAGACAAAACAAACAACTAAAGAAGTTGACAACATAAAATGTTTAATTAAAATTTTAACTGCACAATTACTCTACAACATTACACTCTAGACTAGAGATGGTGTTACTTCAAGGAGTCAAAAGTTAAAGAAAAAGAAGCCCTGGCTTCACCCCTTCTTCAAATGCCACTTGGTAAGGTCCAAATTGCCATCACCTGGTAAACTGGTCATTTATGTGCACCTGATAATGAGAGCACCACACCCAACCAAGAAAACAAATAAATACTTAAATGAAGATCAAATATATATGAATAATACATTTGACATAAACAACAGCCAGACAAGGTGAGGGAGTGAATATAGCTCCTGCACACTCTCCTTCATTCAAGTTTTGATTTAACAGTAACAAAAAATAAACTTGCTGCAGGGTTGTAGAAGCTTTCTATTATCATAAACCTGTGTAATCGCCTTTTATTTCAATGACACTAAGAAATTTAACTTGCTACAGGTCCCTAAATATTATATTTTATAACTATTCAATGGGGCCAAATGTCAATCATTCCACCTCACCAATTTGTAGAGCAATTGTCATCCACAGCAGGCTTGCTGTCAGTGCTGTAGATCCAGGGAGGCAAAACATAAAAAATTAAATTAAATTAAATTAAATTAAATTAAAATAAATATATATATATATGTATGTTTTGTTGTTTTTTTCTATTTCATTATTATTTAATCTTATCAAATATGGGTATGTTTGATGTTTCTCAATTTGGGGGTTAGCCAACAAGGTTGAGAACCACTGCTGTAGATAATATGTGACAGTGGCCTGAAGTTAAACTTGAACCAGACAGTTACCAAATCTGAAGGTAGGACATTCAATATGGTGCTCTTATCCAGTACACGACATGTGACAGTTGTAGAAGTGTCATTATTCATAATCCAACTTTAAAGATTTTTGACCACAAGAATGAAATGAAATGAAATGAAAAAGCAGCCTCTATAAACCATATCATCTTAAGTTCTTGTGGCTAGCATATTAGCAAACAGTTGTTTCACATGTACAATACTTACATGTCCAGAAGAAAGAAGCAGATGCGTACATATTCCACTGGAGTACCCCCTGAGGGAAATCTGGGTCTTTGACTTGCTATGTGCAGCTTACTTGTCCTGGTTGGTGCTTACTTTGGCTCTCTGTCATTTTGGGAACTTGTGGACTGAAAGGCACTGGAAAGTACAGCTTTATGTGGGGGAGTTGTGATAGCCAGAGGGACTCATTCACACAGACCAACAAACCAAAAGAAGAAAACAGCAAGCAGATGAAACCTGCTTAAAGCTGTTGATTCTTAGTGGGAGCAGCAGTACTTGCAACACTTGGTAATATAGAAAAACATGCATGATGGAGTTTTAAGACATTTTTATCCTCGTTAAGACTCCTTATTTAGATATTCTATACAGAAGCATAAAACCAAAGGTATCCTGTGTTACCAGCCTGCAAAAAGCTAAATTGTCACTCATAAATTCTACTGATCAGCTTTAAAGCTTAGTTAGGTTTGGCCCCTGGCTATACTTCACACATTTTATCCCTCTTTGAGCAAGTGCACAGCCTCTGATCCTTGAGCACGGCCCTTCTGGCTGATTCACCATTTAGAATTAAAAGAAGGGGTAACCAGGCTTTTTCCATCAGGGCCTCTGTGATTTGGAACAACATGCCTGAGGAGCTTGGGCAATAACAGAATCAATATCATCTTAACGGCTTTAAACATATTTTTGTAGATGTGTTTTTATTTGATGGGGGCACTGTTGCCTCAAAGCGAAAAAGATCCTGGCTCTTTTCTCTGTGGAGTTTGCATGGTGTCCATGTTCCTGCAGAGGTTTCCTTCAGGTGCCATCCAAAGCCACACAGGTTAGGTGAAGAGGAAACTTAACTGCCTGGGGTATCTGTATGTGTTCACCCTGTGATGGACTAGTGACATGTTCAAAGTGTAGCCTGCCTTTTGCCCACTGCATGCTGGGAAAGGCTCCTGGCCCACTGCTGTCCTAAACAAGTTAAGTGGTTTTGAAAACGGTTTGCATGCTGTTTGATGCCTCTAGGTTTTTTTTTTTTTTTCTATGCTTATTGTGTCTTACTTAGTTTTTTGTTTTATTTAAGGCCTTTCATTTGATTTTCAAGCACTTAACTTCACTTCCTGAGTTTTTAAAGTACTATACAAATGGTGCTATTGTTTTTTATTTAATATTGTATAAAATAAATTGAATGATCTTCACAGGTCCAAGTAATGTACTGTCACAAAAACAACAACAAGACAGTCATCGTCATTATCTAAGCTTTGAATGAAGTGCTTGTCTAGACATGGAAAAGGTGTCATTTTGTAAATAAAACACACGCAGGTCTATACCTGAGTGCAATTTTTGTTAAGAGTCAATGGCCATCTAACTATAATAGCCATCACACTTTATTAATTCAACTTGTCAGAGTGCTGCATTTGCATTTGTTGTGTTGAATTCAGGTTTGCTTATGCAGTGTATTTTGGCTAAATGGATTTGTTGTTAGCCTGGTAAAGGTGAACGCTTTGTTTTGAGTGTGTCTGAAAAGCAAATGTTTTTTTAAACTAATGCTATTCAGTTATTAGGCTATATATGATTGATATTTTCTGCAGTGCCCATTTATATTTCCCCCCAATGTTTAATCAATTGTCATTACCCGGCCAAGTGAGAAGAGAAGAGGATATATTATGTGCACACAGCTGTCCCCCGAGAGAACAACTGTCAATCACCAAACATCTATCTGCATAACTAATGACGGGCCCTCATTTTGCCCTTGGAGTTGGGGGGAAATAGTCTGATTTATGGAAACACATTCTTATGTTCACATGTGCAGGCCATCGTTAGGAAATGACATTTACTGTGACAATGATGGAAAATAAATGAAAGGCATGTTTTCAGGGAAAATAGGATTGAAGTGACCAGGGGAGCTTTCTTCCCCCGAATATGTTCTTACTCTTTAACCTCAGCTTTCACAGCATTAGTCACAAGACCGATGGCCATCCAGATGGCATTGTTTTGTACAGAGTTTCTTTAAAGGCACACATGTATTTACCTCCCCACTGTGTGACTGTGACTGTGGAGCTCATGCTGACCTATATGTGTGTATATCCAGACTATGATATTAGGTTGTCAGTTAGCAAATGCTGTTCGGCTAAAGGCTATGATTAATAATAAATGGCCAAATTACTCCTTGGCAGAGATACACAAATAAATACATACATTGCAGTGGTATAGGTCAATGCAGTAATGGGGAATGCTGCATTTTTAGAAAGGCAGTTACGTAAAATGTGATTTACATTGTGAAATCAATATAAGTTTGAACTTTTACCTAACTAAATTACAAATGTATCTGACTATTTATCAAATGTATCAGACTATTTATTGTTGTCCTTGGTGAATTACACACTTTTGTTGGTGACTCAGATTATCACCACTGTTGTAAAATGAGCAAAACCTGAATTTGCTAATTGTGGCATCATTCCCACACTTGTACAGACAAAAAGGAGTGTGACAGCTGCAGTACTTTTGTATTTTTTCCAAGTTGCTGCCACTTCAGCTCCATAACAGAAGACTAAAAGTCTGGAGAAAGCTTCTTGTTGTTTCAGTGATGGATAATTTATGTTTGAAACACAGTCCAAAGTCAGCTCTCAGCAGTCAGTGGATACAGTAGACCTACTAATGACCGGGGAAAAAAGCTGACATTTTCTTTGAAACACAGTTATGAAAGCAATTGAATGTGAATCTCAGCCACTGTCTGACTGGCTATTTTAGCAGCAGATCATAAAGATGAAAGCATCTTCTTATGCCTCAGCATCCTCTGGTGACTACGACAATTACAGTAGTTTGGCAGAAGGCAGCCAGGAGGGAGCCACACTGAGAGGAGAGTCTTTGTTTGGCTGTGGGCTGTCATATGGTCTGTTTGTTTCCATCTAGGACTATTCTCTGAATCTACCCCTGGTGTAAACACACGCTAGCTCCACAATTATTCATAATTCAGGAGACATCTTCAGCAAACAAGTGGCAAACAATAATTAGTAACAGGGATGCTCTATTTACTTTATCACTGTGATCTCACTTACTAAGCAATTTAGTTCATTGCAGACAGCGAGATGTAGGTTTTTACCAAAAAAATTAAATATTTATTTGTTTTCATTTTTTTTTTTTTTTTCATACATTTGCAACATTGAATAGGTTGTGGATATCAGGTGGATGTGACCAGTCCATTCATCCTGTTACGCTGAACCCATTCCCTCTTAATTAGACACAACTGTCCTGCTGTCAATAGATCCCCCTCCCTCCCCAAAGGTTAATAAAATATCAAAAGAAAAATCAAATGTCTCAGGATATAAAATGAATTGAACATATTGTACACATTCACACACAAATCTGGAATGAAAACTGTCTCCCTGTGGGACAAAGCTGGCCACCAGCCAATTCCATGAAACAGTCATTTTGTGTAGTCTTAAATCACTGTTGCGGTTTGTGCCTTATTGCCTTACAATTGGCTGTGGAGACGATAAGAAAAGAAATTGTTAACACAGAATTGTCCTCAGTTTGTGACCTCCAAAACCCCTTTTATAAATCACAAAAATACAGCAAAAGTATGTCAGTCTCAACCGTTCAGACTGACCTGGCAGCTCTTTTCTTCTGCAGTTCTTTCACTCCATCTGTTCCCTCTTTCTATTTGACTCTGCTTTTCATCTATCCGTCTATTTTACAAAAGTGGTCATAGAAAATAAATACAAATATTTTCCAGAATGTAATTTTTATACGACCCAGATGTCACCTCTGCACTCGCAGTCCTTTCTCTCTTCCACATTGTCTCTCATTCTTTTTATAATGTCCTCCTCCACTTCCTTTTTCTGTTGCACTTCAGCAGAGTTCACTGTTGCAGTTACCATAGTGATCATGGTGTAAATAAATAAATAAATACATAAAAACAAATAAATACATAAATATTTCCTCCTTAAATAAATACATGTTTGTCAGACAGTTTCCCTTGGCATGGTTAAATCCTACCTACGTAATGTTGATATTTTAAACTCTGAAAACAGTATCGTAGTTTAAAATAAAGGTTGTCATTTATGATTTGGGAGTGAGAAAATCTTCCCTTCAGACTAAATGGCAATTTTTGTGACTGGATATCTTTTTCTTCACTCTTTCTCATATCATCAGCGCTTTCATGCTGATGTTTGAAAACTCTCACAAATGCCATACAGTGTAAAAAAAAACTTGATTTCAAAGTTCTACACTGTGAATTGTCTTTCAGAGATAAAGAGGTGGTCCTTAAAGAGTACACAGTGCTGGCTCTGATGATCTCAGTAGAGTGCCAGAGGGTGAGAAGAGGAGGCAAAGAAGAAGAAGGAAGAAGAGGGAGTTTAAATGTCTCTGCAGAGGAGAAGCTGTGCTAGGACCCTTCCTCCTCGAGGTTTCCTGGAGCGTAGTAGCCTGCCAGTTGCCTGAAACGTGGTCCCCAGTCGCTGAGGTAGGAGAAATCCTGTTCCGAGGTGGTGGACAGCGTGTGGATGGAGCTGAGTGAAAGCGCTGGTGAACTGGTGCCCTCAAAGGCGTACGTCTGGAAGGAGTCATACGGAGGCACCGACAGATCAGCATCTGCCTGTTCCACCTTCTTTCGGATGTAGCCTTTGAATAGGGAGAAGTCTGCCGCCGCTGCTGCAGGTCCCTCTGCACCCCCTCCCACCCGGTTAGCCTGTATCCACTGCGGCAGTGAGCGGATGTCTGGGCCAGAGTCACAGCTCTTGGCTTCTGGGAAGTCATAGAGGTTCCTCAGGGCACTCATGTCATATGCCTGAGTGTCCTGCTCCCCGCCACCCTCGTCATTGTATTTGATGACGTTATCCCTCATGTCCTCCTCATCCTCGGCCATCCTCTGGCCCTTCCTGTGGCGTTTCAGGGTCAGGATCAGCAAGACAAGGACTGATGGAGGAGGAGACAGAACAAGACAAAGAAAGAATGAAACACCAAGATGATCAAATATGTTACAGGTTAATTGTACAAATCTACAAAGAAAACCTTGATGTGTGGCACAGTGTTGGCACACGTTGCATTCTCATGTGCACAACACAACATAAAGGTTAAATATGAATTTGCCAGATCAACTTGAACAGCAGGATAAGATAAAAGCCAGGGGGAAGACAGGTTCCCATTTAAGGGATTTTATAAACTGTCATTACTGCAAGTGTTTTTGAAATCTGTGGCTTTAAATCTCTTGCTCCACAGTAGACATGGATTAAGGGTTGTCAGGCTGAGTTTAAAGAGCTTGCATGCAAAAACGGAATTATTCTTCATCTTGCTGAGAATAATGACATACCAAATCCAGATTCAGGGCATTCAGTACTAAAGAAAATAACTGCACTAAAGAATATAATTGCACTAAATGTGTACATACTGCATAGTGCTTCACATTAAACATGCATTTTGTGTGATGGATTTGCAAGTACTTTCCATGGGAAAGTTTCTAACTACTCCCATTGTAACTTTCACCTCTCGGGACAAAGGCACAGCGGGGAAGGATAATATATTATCAAGTTTTACATTTCAAATGCATGAGCATTGATTTTTCACAATCCCGATTGCTTTGGCCAGAAATATGATTCAAAAGGCCTAATGGAGACCAATCTGTATATCAATACTCATCCAAGTTGAGTGAAACAAAGACTTTGTGGTTCCATCACTACTTAAAACCTGAGGCAACCACCTACAAAGTGAAAGAAATGTCTCAGAAAATTAAGTCTGGATTAAAAAATGGAAAGCCATTGAGATGGATCACGTTATGAACTAATGAAATGAGAGGAAAACAAAGGCTGTATGCACAGATGAATCAATGAGGCTTTAATTTCAGCTTAGTTGTTTTAATTACTGCCTACGTTGGTGATTAGACAACTCTCACTTAGCTCAGACACCCACCGCATGACTCCATCATCCCTTCTGCGGGCTGCACCCTTCTCCCTGAAACCTCCACCAGATTTGTCTCAGACTTGCAAATGTAATTTTCAGTGATGATAAAAACCTATTACAGGCAGTTATGAATGAGTTATACACACTGGGGAGTAAAAGAAAGATAATGAGCAACTCCATTTACAAAAGTCTTATAGATAAAAATAAATCAAGCCTCTTTTTGATCAACCAATTAATTAATTAACTAAATTAAAACGTCAACATGGATTGATGTACAGTACATGGTACATACAACCATGAAACAACAATTTGTTTAGGAGCATAATATTATAATAACCTTGAAAACTTTTTCTTTCGTATTGTGTGAATTCAAAGTATATAGTGGTGGATCAGCTCATTTGTTTCCTTCTCTATAATGGCTGGCTGATTAAAATAAATGTGATTCTTTTGAAAAGATCTCCCATTTCACAATATCTTCACAATTAGTAACAACTCAGTCCACATGCGACAATGCTGAGAAATAATTAATATGGGTGATAAAAATCAGGCATAAATGATGACTTAAAATGTAGTTAATACACAGATAAGGAGTTGAAAATGTCTCTCCTTGGTTATTGAGTTTTGATAGGCAGCAGGATACGTTTTCCTGTGGTCAGGACTGTGTTACAGTGTAACTGTGGACTGGAATTATTTTTCTTCCTTTTAGCAAGGACAACGAGCAACCACTCTAAAGGGATGCCAGTGAAGAGACATTTAGATAGATCATTAACCAGTAGGCACCATGCATCTAATGGAACAGATAGCTTGTTGCCTAAAACAAATGCCTACAAGCCCACAGAGATAAAAAGACTATCAATTATTATGGGGCCTGCGCTGTCTGAAACAGCACAGATTGGTTGATGCTCTAAACCCACCAGGACAGCCATCCATAGATTGTGAAAATGATATTCACATATTGTTTCATATTCAAACCAGATCAAAGTCAAGACATTATGTGCTGTGTACAGGAAATCCACACATGTTAAAGCATATATACTAGTATGCATGAAAAAAACCCATGGACAAATGCACTCTTATAAAGTGACCTTGGAAGTCTGGATGTGACTATAAAACACCATGTTTCACCTTTACTTTCATCTCCTTCTGCTAGTCTTTTCTTTCTCCTGAGTAAAGGGCAAAAAGCACCGGTTTCAACCATATAATCTGTACAAATGAGTTGTTGCTGCTCCGGGTAATTGTCTTCATTTGGTGTAAATGGCCTAAAAAATAACTTGCGAAGTGAAAACGCCCCGTGTGTTCCCTGCCTAAAGAGCCTTGCTGATCTTGAATGGGGATTTTATGCAGTATCTCTGACTGATAATGTACATTAGTGCTCCTCTTACATTGTTTGCTGGGCTCCATTGGGAAAGCGTTGTCTGTAACCATTGTGTTTATTCTTCTTCTCCATGAATGGGGTGAATTAATTGCCACAGGGTTGAGGAAACAGTCTTGGTTTGTGGTAAATTGCGGCTCACACTGCCATGCATACTAAACAAGAGCTAAGACAATTACTCTAAATTCACACTAATGAGGAGAGTAATAGGAGGTAGAAAAGTTGATGTTATTAACTCCCTCATACATGCAGATCAGCTGCTTCTTTCATAAACAGTATTGAAGGCGTGTGTGATAGTTAGTTAGACGCAAAGAGGATCAGATAACCTCACTTCTGACAATGCCTTCCTCACTGATAACATGTGAGTATCCTATTTGGTACACAGATGCTTGAACTGTTAGTTATTGAAAACCTATTTAAGTTGGAGATTAGCATACCACAGGCAATGTTATTACACTAGCATATGTACCTGTGTATAGATGCCTCCTATACATTCAAAGCTGGTCCCCATGTGTACAGATGTTGCGATAAGCCTTCCTGACAAGACGGTTAATTTACCCTTGGGCTGCGCTGGTTGCCCCCACCCAGGAGTTCATCACAAGCAGATGGGAGGTAATTGGAATAGATGCATGCAGATGCTGCGACGCAGTGGAATGGATTCATCACATCAGGCCTATAAATGAACTGATGGAGAGACTGTTTGTTTGTAAGGTAATTAGGCAGAAATTTGTTTTCATTTTTCTCATCATCCAACAATTGATGTAATAGAGATGGTCCAGCCTCTGGAGAGAGGGGGTGCTGTCTGGCTGGTTAGGCAGACACTGTGTGAGCGGAGCAAGTGTGTGTGTGAGAAGGCAAGGCACGCACACTAATGGCACAAGGAGAGAGCGGATTGCATTGCAGTTAAAAGGTGAGGAGTGATTTGTCTAAGCGTATGGATGTGTGCATCGCAGGTGCAAGCAGACACACATTACATTTGTGTGTGTGTGCATGGTAAGCAAAGCAGGAACAGGAAAGTGTTGGCAAATGTGCAACCGATAAGATTGCTGCCACATGCCTGGCTCCTGTCTGTTATTCACACCACACAGTAGTTGTGAAAACACTGCTCATCCCCCCCGATCCCAGACCTTGTAGCCCTGAGATTTTACTATCCACATGATGACTGGCAGAAGCCAGGCGCTCCGACTTAGCCTGTCTTTCAGTGCTTTGATGAGGCCTGTTCAGCCCATTTTCTACCAATCATTATCAGTCACTCAAAGTGGCATGGGCTGATTAGAGTCATTGACACTATTAGAATCAAAACAACATATTTTCATTAGCAGAATCAAAACTACACTAAATAACACCAAAATAGTTAAAGAACCACAATCTTTAGCATAAGCATGTTACTCTGCATAATGTGGTTGCAATGAAAACCGCATAACAGCATTTTCCTGCAGTGTCTAGCCTTCCACAATTTTAAAGGCCAAGCAACTCAGGCCTTTGAGGGGGTGTCATCTAGCCCAAAACACCAAAACCACTGGCAAAAAATTTTTTTATAGCTAGGAGAGGTTGCCTCAGATTTGTACACAACATTTTGTTGAGGCTTTTAAAACCATGATGAATAAATGATGCCCTGCTTTTGAAGTTCACTCCAGTAGAGGGTTTGGTTAATGGAGGCAGAGTTTTAACAACTCTCATTTGAAAACCTCCTAAAAGAAATAGATAGCAATGTTAGTTACAGTTAGAGCTGCCTGGTGTCATCATCATTCATCATTCACTGCTTGCATGATATAAAACGTGTATAGGCGCGAGCGGGGGAGACAAAACACTGTGACAGCGTTGTCGTTTTTTTTCTGCCACTAAGGAGTGGGATCCTAAGATGTACAGCGGGGGCAGAGCAAGAAGTTAACTCATAAAAATTTCAGACATGACAATACTAAACCTCTCCGGTCTCTGAGAGGGTGAGCGTGTTCATGCATGTGTATGTTAGTGTGTGCATGTGTGTTCGTGTATAAAAATCTGAGAATGTCTGGAAAGCCTTGTCTATTTAAATCCTGCTGTTCCCGAGGTATACAAGTGCTGAGGCAGCTCTTTTGCCTGTTTGCGCTCTCCTAACCCCTCCTCCACTTCACTCCCATTCATTCCATCTCTGTCTGTGGATCCAGAGATCAAAGTGGCTTGATATCATTCATAAACCCAGGCATCATCTGTGCTCTTGTTTAAACAAAAGCTTTCTCCTCGTAAAAGCAGCAACACAATGTCCAAAGGAAAGCCACTCATGAAAGAAAGATGAAAGATTGATCTTGTTTTTATGTCATTCGTCTGCCACTGCATGTGCAATTTCATTCGTGAAATATAGATAACCTCTAAAAGTGGTCAATCCATTAAAAGACACATGCTTGGTTGCATGATTTCATGAGCAGGGGACATGGAATTGTATCTTTAGGTGCAGCCCTCAGTCTTGCCTTCTTACCAGTACATCCCACTATTGAACATAATGCTGCTGGTAGTCCTGCTGGAGAAGTTGAACTTAGCAATGACCCCAGAAAAGCAATACTAATGAATTGTGCTCATCAATCCGTATAGCCATCCATCATATCTCCATCCATTTATCTCCTCATCCATCCATACATACATACATGAGTACATCCATCTGCTTACCTATGAGGATGAGCATGCAGACCAGTAGGGCTATAAGTGCCCCAGGGCTGAGAGCAGCACTCATTACATAGGCTGTGGCATTGCAGGACTGGATGGCTCCCTCTGTGTTGCAAAAGAAAAATTAGCTGTTACTGTACAGATTCAACACCAGTTAAGAGTCAGTTCAGAGGACACAAATTAAGCCCTGTTTTATCAACAGAGAAAAACAAACCTGTTTTATCATGCATATATTTATATTTTCACCCAGCTGAAACACCATTTGTCTGCAGATTTGTGGCCTTGCGATATTTGGGTTTCAACAAATATAAGCTGATAAGAACTGTTTGCTGACCAAAACAATGGCATGTAGATGACCTTTTACTACTGCTGCTGCTGCTGCTGATGCAAAAGGTGACAGTGATGATAATGTTATTAATGGTGCAACTTCTACAGTAGCTCTCACCTGTGTCACAGCCACAGACATGAATGGTCAGGGTGCCTGTGGAGCTGAGGGAGGGAGGCCCGCTGTCAACCACCAGGATAGGCAGGAAGTACACATTCTGCTCATGGCGGTTAAAGCCTGACCGCTGGGTCCAGATTCCAGCTGTGTTGTCTAGGTGGGCGTTGTGAGTGTGTCAGGGGGTGGGGGTCAGAGAGACAAGCGAAGAATTACACATGAGCGACTTAATATTTGAAAACCTCTTTGTCTGCTCACTGATGTCTGGTTTTTACCAGGCTGCAGAAAAATTGATGAAACTCCATCCAGTGGGTGCTTTTATTACACTTCTTGTTTTTCCTCCTTTGAACTCAAGACTGTACTGATGGAAAAATAGAAAAAGGGTGTGTTCATCATGCAGGCCTATTTGACATTACTAAAATGTCAAGGCAAATCGTAGTTTTCAAGACTTGACACTTGAAAATGTAAGCTGCCTGCCATTTGATTCAAAAAGAACAATAAAAACTTGTGTGAAATGATAAAAGAAATACAGACCGAAAAGTGCCATACTTGTCACATACATAGTCGGAAAAAATAATTTGCCATGCAATCATGAATAGTTCAAGGACTCCGGAAGAAGGGTGCCAGGATTGTCAAGTTTAACTTGAGGTTGAATGATTTCTCTGGGAAATTAACTGCTTTTCTCCTATTATCATTCATCATGTGTTTTTTTTTTTAAATCCAAACAAAAACAGGAGAGAAATGAGTAAGAGAGCCACTGTTTAAAATTAAACTTCACCACTGTGTTTATATGAGCCCTCTCCCGGAGACATAGATTAATGTAACACAGAATACAGGAGGAGGCTTTGACAAATAGAGTCGGAGAAGCTTTGTGGGTAGACTTACACAGAGGATACCAAGCAATCCATCTCCCAGAACATATATCACCCTTATCCATGTCACCCTAGAGCTCCCCTGGCACATGTAGAACAATCTTCATATTACTGTTTATGTACGGGAATGTTGCGCCCCTGAGTTTGTCCTTTTGACATTTACGCAGCATTCTCTTCTACAGCTGTCCGCTTTAAAAACGATTCTCTTCATCTGAATACATGTAGACTGGAGCATCTTGTGGAGTTTTTAATCAAAATGAATGTTTAATCAAAATTTGTTAAAAACTTACACAGGACAATCTCCCACAGCCTGGGACCCCTCAAGGTCCCTGTAACCCAGAACCATTGCTTTAAAATATACACCACAATAGGTGTCTTGTCTTTGCTTTCCAGAACGACACATGTGCACGCTCACTCAAATAAAATATAACAACCTTTTTGAAGTCTCCTTGTACCATTAAACCCTAAAGATCAAATCATGCTGATAATGCCTTCAGCATAGCATCTTCTTCCATAACCCCAATATAAGAACTTTGCCCTCTCACCTTTAACGGCAGAAGGACACAGAGGAGCATATATGATGACCCTCTTGGGAGGCTGACATTGTTTGACATGGTCATAGCTTAAACAAGACTAAAAGTCTACAGTCATATCAGCAGTTATGGGCATACAGCGGTGCTTTGTGCTAGATGCAGCATGCTGACAGTGATAATGCTAAAATGCTGATGTTTAGCAAGTATAATGTTTTTCATCCATCACACTGATACACAAAGTACAAGTGACTGCTGATAAGTTTAGCTATTTTTTAATAATATTTTATCATAAACCAATGTATTGGACAAAGCTACATTTTGACCACTAGAAGATCACAAAAAAAATGTGCATTCATCCTCTGGGGACCATAGATATCTGTACAAATTATCATGCAAATCCATCCAGTAACTTTTGGGAGATTTAAGGACACTGCCATCTCTAGAGCCAAACAGCTGGCATGGCTAATAAGAACTACTTGTTTAAGGTTAGGGAAAGGTCGTGGCTATGGTTAAGAGAAAGCAATGTTGACTGCTGGAAGAAACACAAGTCATTTAAGGCATTTACAAAACAAATTTTATTTGTGTTTTTTTTTTTTTAACCTGAACTTGATCTCCTGTCACTTTATATATATATAAACAAGTTATTTTATACTATTCATTTAAAGGCACAAAGGCATGTGGATACCAAAGCCAAAGAAAAAAAGAATATTCTATATTACAGCCTATATAAAGTGAGTGGAGAACAACATGAAGACTTGCAGTATAGGATTACTATAGCGACATTGTGTGGCTATTGTACCGCAAAGAATATGCCCTCCTGGATGTTGAATCACTTTAGCTTTGCAGTGAATGCTTTATAAATGTGTCCTGCTATAGCAGATATGCATGCTTTTTGAAATGTTTACTGCAGAAAGATAAAATAAGGGATACAAAACTTTCACTAGTGACAAATAAGCAAATAAAATGTGACTTTCTTTTTTTCTTCAGCTTCATATTTCTTCAAGATTTCTTTTTAAGCACGATGTGAGATATTTTCCAGGTAAAATGATTGCAGTTTGTCATGTATATTTATTTGGTAAAGATGAGATTTGGCTTTATAGACTGCCAACAACAACTTAAAAGATTTTAGCAACATGGGGGAAAAAAATGTCTTTTCATCATTGTGTGTCAAGGCATAGAGACAGAATGCAATGTGAGGCCATGATGGGGAAAAGAAGAAGTGACAGATTGAAAGTGACAGGTTGACAAATGTGTCCATGAAAAGAGACACCAGAGTGAAAAAAAAAAAGGGGTGGGAGGATAAAAAGTCTGTGTGGGGTTTTGTTTGTCTTTCACCAAAATATATACTGGGTCTGCTATAGTGTTTGTTTGTGAACACATGAAATGTATTGGGGTGGGAGGTGTAACATTGACATCTAAGCATTATTAATAATTCCCTCAATAGCCACCAATGTACACACCATTTCAATATTTCACCTACATGCACATCTAAACACACAATCACATTGAGGCAGTTGTGAAATAAAGTATATACTGTACATGTTTGAGTCCGTATTTGTGTATGTAGACGAGAGAAAGAAAGCAAGATGGACACTTCAGTCATATTTCTTCTATGCACACGTGCAGCCTATGTATATTTTGTGTGTTTACGTTACACAAGGTTATATGTGTATCCTTTGATACATGTGAGCAGGACTGCAGCAGACCCTTGCTGCCTTCACACGGTGACATTTCCCTAGCTTGGGCTGCTCTCCTGACATTTTCCTGGTGTCAGATCAATCTTGATTTAACCAGATGTCACATTCACTTAGGTACACATCTCTAAACGAGGGATCTGCAAGCGTGTGTGCAAAAACACAGACAAGCATGAAAAAAATGTATCTTCCTGACAAAGCAAAGTCATCACTGGGGGGCACAGTGATTTTAATGTCTCCTTACACTGCGCAGATGAATGTGTTTCTGTGAAATTAAATTTTCATGATGACACTTGAGAGAATTATGTAAACTGTTGACATTCCATTTAAGGGGGATTAAGGAAAGATTTTGTGTTAAACAGTGTTCAAGACAGTAATATTAATATATATATATACATATATTTCTTTATACTTTTTGCTTTCATTTGATAGGACAGCTCAAGATGGACAGGAAGGAGGCAAACCAAGAGAAAGGGGATGACATGCAGCAAAGGGCCTTGGTACATCGGGTGCCAGCTCTGCCAGGTGAGAGACCAGAGCGCTGCAGAACAGTAATATATTTCAGAGAAAATGACATTCACATAAAATGCTATTACTGTGGAAAATAATGCTCAACTTAGTGTTGCAGTTTGTACAATCAAGCACACTTCTTCAGACAAACTGTAAAAAATTTATTTCGTACAGATTGTCAAATATTTAGTGGCATGTCCTACTTCCTGATAATGTCACTGCTTAGAGGACCAGAACAGGTGGTGTTTATTCAAAAATAATAAGAACAATCTGCTTGATAATCAGGTGAATGCTAAGTCATAGAAATAAATAGACTATTTTGCATTCAATTCAAAACTGTCCTGCCATTGTTAAAATCTTCTGGTAGTGTAGTCCTAGTCTCTTTTTTTTTTTCCCAAAACGTCAACCATCTGGCAAATAAATGAGGAAAATAAGACTTTGAAATTATTGATAAGTATTTTGACAAAGTTTGGGAGATGCAGTCTTTAAACTAACTCAATATTGCCTTAAGGTCTACATTTGCAGAATGCCCTCAAGCAAACTCTTGCATTGCCAATCATATTCACATCTTAAACGATTCCATCTTTATGAGATCATCATGATCTTGTAAGTCAAGTATAGTTTTGCTACACCTGTGCACATTTAAAATGCGCACACCCACTCACATAAAATATAACAACCAGTCTTAAATACTCCTGCTTGTACCATTATATGAAAAAATGCAATAATGCTGATGATGCCATCAGCGCAGCCACTTGAGTATGCATCTTCACCCATAACCCAAATAGAAGACCTTTGCCCTCTCACCTTTGACATCCCACAGGGTGAAGTGTCGATTGCTGGAGGCTTCCGGGGCCAGGGTGAAGTAGAAGCGATGTCCAGATTGTGGCTCGTCTCTATCCACCACACTGATGGTGTGAATTAACTAAGGAAAGAGAAGCAACCAAAACAGAAAAGGAAATAAAAGGACAAGAAAGAAAAGAAACAGAGGTTAGATTTTATTCTCAGATCCACTCAGTGGGAACAAGAAAATGAATATGAAAAGCACTTTACACTTTACATTTCAAATGCCTCTTTCATGAGTGAGGGAGTGAGGTGGAGCGAGTACACTTGGATGCGACAGACTCAGAAGGCTTCCTATGAAAGTGCAGTTCAAAGGGGCTACAGTCACAAAGAGATAAAAACTTCTTTCTTCAGAAAGTTGACACAGCAATATAAAAAAGAATGTCTTAATGTTAGAAATGCAAAACTATCATAAAATGCTTCACTAAAAAGCTTTTTTTGGACAGAAAATACACAGATATTCTGTGAGGCTGCCATATTTGCTCTATGACGGAGCAAAGTCAAAATTCAAATGTGCAGAGGAACAGAAAGAAAGACATAAAGACTTGGTGATGGTGTAGTCCTCCTATCTAATGCAATAATAGTGATCCACATTGAAAGATAAAACTCAACTGTGATCCAATTTTGAGAACTCTGTGTGGACACAATAAGATGAGATAGGATTCACTGTGAGCTGAACAGACATCAAACAGCCCCTGGAGATCTTTTCACCTTAACACAGGCCTCTTGGTGACAATTCATCCTCTTCTCATCCTATTAATCTGCAGCCAGCGTCAAACCACAAGCTGATAAATGATATTTTCACATCACATCTGTCTGCTCTGTTTACTCCTCTGCCGGTGCACTACTGCCGGAGTCCACGTATTATTATTTTGATTCGTTTCACCTATGTTTACTGCATTACACTAAAAAAACAACAAAACAACATAGAAATTGTAGACAACATACAGTGCATTCGAAATGCAGGATGTGTTTTAAAAGTAGCGTAAATGACAAAATTCTCTACATGAATGTTAAGCAGGCAGTAGGCCAACAGCAGAGCAGCATGATGAGCCATTTTTTTAATTTTACTAGCACCTCTAAAACACACTAATAAGATATAATTGGTTAAACATTATATATTATTTGTTTAATCTGTAAAACAAAAGTGTAAAAGAAAACAATAACTAAAAATACAGTTAAGTACCAAACAACTTCAGAGTGAGGCTAGCGTTTTCCACTGGTTTGCAGTCTTGTGCTAAGCTGCCTGTAGACATACTATATACAGATATGAGAGCGGTATCGATCCTATAACCGTCCAACAGAAAGCAAGTAAGTATTTACCAAAATGATGAACTATTCCTTAAAAGTTAATTTTGAACAGTGAAGAAAATCGTTACAATCTAATGAGTAACAGTAATGCACAACATTAAATACATTCAAAAATGAAAGTTTTAACAAGTATGAATATGCATCCACTGCTGTTGTTGTGTGTCTATCACAGAATGCAGCAGACACGAAACACAGATGGCAAATGTCATTCTGTCAATACTACACTAACTGTTTTTATCCTGGTTTACAGAAGAAACTACTTCCACTGACTTTCTGGAAGCTTAGTTTTGATTATTTCCTGTCTTAGCCCTTGATAGCTTAGGTATTTGTTTAGCAACAGTTCATCCCACTCCTGTCTGCCTTCTCAAGCATGTATAGCATTACTCCCACTGCATATACAGCTGCTGTTCTCACTTGCCTATTCTCATTCTACACAAAAGTGGCTTTCTTGGCTTAGGATCTTCACTCTGAACATAAACAATTCTGCATTTGTTTATAATCATTAGGAGGAATCATAGGAGGGAATTTTATCTTCACAAAAAATGTACTTAAAACAGGGCTGGGCTTATATAAACGGTGAATAGTTGGCAAAGGAGAGGCAATCTCTTTAACAACCACCACTTTGTAAGAAGACACCCAAATCATTTTGAATTTGAAGTCTGGGGAATGTTAATAATTTGTTTTTGCTAAAACGATGCCCCAATAAATGCTCTTTTTCTACGTTTTACCTAAGGACGATAAGTTTTATCTTGAAGTAAGTCTTGCCCCCACCTCTGTTTCACACACACACACACACACACACACAAACAGGCACACAGGTGAACTGTTCAGAGGCAGTGTTAGAAATCAGCAGAGACACACATGACAAACAACCCCCAGAACTACTATTAAGTGAGGCATTTCTCAGAATGATTAAAGCAGCATGTTCGATGGCTGCAATTCGTTTGTCTGGTTTCACAAAAGCTTACGGTATCAGATAAGATCGAGGGAAATATATCAAACCATTACTCAGCTGTTACATTCTTCTCTTTAAGGGGCAGGATACTTATAAAATGTTAAACATGGCTTTGTTTACTGGACTGAACCCTTCCTCTTTTTATCTTTTCTCCTCCACCTCTTTGCCTCTTCAGCCGACTTTCTCTATTCATCACTGTGATTTCCTTTTCCTCTGATTCCTTGTCCTTTACATTTATCTTCTCCAAAGTATCTCCCTCTCATTCTTGTCCTTTCCAGAAAAATGTGTCCCTAATTTATCATCCACCTGCAAATTGATTATTTAAACGATGCTGTAGATATACTCCACACCTTTCTCGCAGACATCTGCTTTATTGTGTGATTTTTAAGCTCATGTTGCCTGTTTGTGCAAGACAGCCTCATTCATTTAGCACTGCACACAACTCTGAATTATGAGCCTGAGTGGTGGCTATGCATTACTGTGACTAAGCTACTGCCGAGCACACTTCCGGGCCACAATTGTGCCTTCACAATAAACAGCTCCTCAGCATTGACGTTGCATCACAGACACAGAACAGGCTTAGTCATACCCACAGCTCAGGGAGGCTGTTTGGGATAATATGGCTTACTTTGTAATTACAAAATGCTACGGCATGATTTCAGGGTAAATCACACGCTTCTTCCATAGCACACTGCAAAATCTGCATTAGAGAAACACACAGAAATGCATAGAAATGAACCAGGAATGATTGCCTGAATTCCTACAAAGGTGACTGAAAGAGAAAGAAAAAATATCATTGCCATCTCAAATGTATGGTCCTGATTGCTATAGTTTCTGTGATGGTCTTTATTGTTTTTGAGAGTGAGGCTCTAATTCTTGCACATTTTAATAGGTAGGCTAACAATGCAACCACATGAATTAAATTATATTATATTGTAGTAGAAAAATAAGTTCTGTGACATGTTTAATGCTGTCCAGATTACATTTCATATCAGACCTAATGTTCATTCTGTATTGCATGTGCCAAACACAGAGCACTTTCCAACTGGAGAATGTCCATGCTTGGCAATATATTCAAACCACTTTGCTTAGGGTTGAAAGAAATATACACCAGCTATGTGTAATGTCTACATGTATTGTTTTCACATTGTGTTGTTGACACAGTGAAGGGTTGAGATTCGCCACTTTCCTGTGATTCGAGGTGCAGCAGTGCTTCAGAAAAGGCAAATTTTTGTACCTGGACTGACATCCTGACAATAGCCTGCCTCTGTCTGTATGGTGCAAAGGGTCTCGCAACTTTTTCCATCAAAGAAATCCATTAGTTCTTTGTAGGACTCAACTGTTTTGAATTGCATTCGTCTTCTTTACACAAGAGTTTATTCTCACACAAACACAGAAGCACTGGGCTAACGCAAAGACAATCACTCATCCGATCAATCCATAGTAAGAATTAAAATCGAGCTGTGCTGTGCTATATGCCAAAACAGACCTTATCTTATCTTCTCATCTCTCTTTGAATCTCTTTCAGGTTTATTTCAGTCTAAAGGTAAAAGAATAATGAGCAAAGAGAAGTCACTTAAAGCAAAATCTTTATTATAAGCCGAGGTATGAATCCAGTCATTTCTTTGAAGAAATATGAACAGCAGTGAAGATGTAGTAAGTGAGCCATGATCTGCATCCTGTGACTGTGCCCTCAGCAGGGGGACTCTCAGGCGGCATCTCGGGGTGAGTACAAACTGCTGAGGGAGATAGAGAGTGAAGCGAGAAAGGAAAATGAGAAGGAGGAGAGCAAGTGTGTGTGGGAGTTTATTGAGCAGCAAGCGAAGCTCCCTCAAGCACAATCACCTAATTAGATTTCTATCTAGCAGCCCCCTTTCCTGACCCCCTTAAATCTCTTGCATCTCTGGAAAGCTAGAAGGGGAGACTTTCCCAAAAGTACATCCCATCTACACTGGAGGTGTCTGAAAGGTCAAGGTTGTGAGGGGGAGGCAGCTTTCTCATTCATTGCAGAAATCAACCACAATGCCATAATGAATAAATATATAAATAAACAAACACACAACTCCTTAAAATAGGTTTAGAGAGGCTCATCTAGCCTGGAATGCACTGTAAGAGTTGTATTTTCAAACACATCCATTAGTTTTAGTGGTAAAAAGCATCCTCATGGTGTCCAGCAAAGCATTAACATGTATCAGTGCATTGCTCTTAATTCAATTTCAGGGTGCCAGAATGCAGAATTTGAAAAAAAAGAAAAAGAAAATAAGAATAAGAATAAGAATAAAAGCTACAGTTTTTTCAAGAAGGCATACATTCTTCTTTTCTTTTCTTTTTCTGCATTTTTCTGCTTTATTTTGACAGAACAATATATGTAAATCTAAAAAAGGAAATGTTGCTGGAAATGGTAAAGATTACGGTTCTCTTGTCAGCTAGTTTGTCTAATTCAATGTTAACATTTCAGGGACAAAAGGAAGAGGCATTTGGCGAGTAGAACAGATGACTCATTCAGTCTCTTACTCATGAAATACTGTCTGGCAAAACTGTGAGTACGTCTGGGTTCTTTCCTCGTCTGTGGTCTGTTGCTTCTTCTTTTACTCACATCTAATGTGGGCCTGTGTGTTGTTTTAGTATAATTTCTGTATACTAGGTGAGTAAGTGTTGCACTCACGTGTATGTGATGTGATGTGTGTTTCAGACAGGCTTAACATTTAACATTTTCAAATGGACTCTCTCAGGGGATGGAGGTTGGCGATGCCGTGGCCAAACGGAGGTGATCTGTCGCAGTGACCCACTCAGCCAGCTGTGAGACAGCACAGCAG